TCCGGTATTATCCGGCTTTTTTTACTATCTGACCGGATAACCGAATATCATTAGTATCCAGGAATATATCCGGTTGAAATTTTATATTATTAAATTGTTGATTTGTTATTATATAAATATTTTAGAAATGAGTATGTATAATTATACTCTTTACTATTCAGTCTTTATATGTATTTGACAAGAATAAAAAATTCTATTTGCTTTATATGTATGGATTTAAAAAAATTTAATTCTCAAGTTAATTGTACATTAATCCGCAAATTATATATATTTAATTATAAATTATTATTTCCTGATTTATCCTCGTTCTATTATAAAAGGAAAAAGAATGTTGAAGAGAATCGAATTAGGAGTAGTTACAAGAGGGGCAGGAAGATTTTTTCCAACATCGCTAGAAGAAAAACGCTCCACAATGTTGGTATCATTGGCAACAAGTCGAGCTTATTTTAGAACACGAGAACGCAACGCACAACCGAATCGCGAACGTTTCGTATAGAACGTATATAGTACGCAAACTGGACCTGACGGTTCCTCGTGGTAATCGTTGCGCCAGGAAGCTCGACCGAGCGGAACGATTTACGGGATATTTATGTGAGAACGCAGACGAGCGAAGATGGTGTCGGTGATGCAGCCGTACATGGTGAGTTCGATGTCCCATTAGATTCGTACGCGATCTCCGGTAAACGGCAGTTTGACGCATCAATAGAGCTCACGAATCCCACCGTTGCTAGTAACGCCAAAAATTACATCACGGTTTTCTCGTGATCTTGCAGGACATCGAGAGTTCCAGGAGCTACATCGATGAGCTGTACTCTCCGGACGCGCAGAAATGCCTGGAAGCGATTATGTGAGTGTTAAAAAAAATTATTCTTAACCTTAAGGATAATACTCCATATGACTGAAAAGATTGATTTTTTATTGCTACATTCGATTGTACTGCAGCTTCCTTTCTCGCTTTCATCAAATATCGAACATATATCTACTTCACTTTAAGTACACAGAGTGTACACTAGTTCAGCTATAAAAAATTGATTTAAAGTTTCCAACGAAGATTTCTCTACTTACGTTTATTTCTACCAATGTAAATTAATTTTAATCTCGGTTTATAAGTTACTTTTTATCTTCTTCCAATTCTAAGAACTAGAAAAAGATAAACAGTAATTAAAGATAAAAAGTAAATTAAATCAAAATAATAATTAATCTACATTGGTAGAAATAGGCTTTATATGTTTACTTTTCATTTTTATGATTGATAAAAAACTGTATTAATGTTTCATGGATCTGATTTCTCTCAGATGTCTCAAGAATTCAGTGATTGGCAGCAACAGGCAAAAGGGTTCGGTTATAGCTCAAGGTGTGGTGCCTCGCCTCTTGCAATTGCTCGGAGACACGTCCGGTACCATCGGCGATCGTATAAGATTGGAATCGGCTGTAACATTGGGTTCCTTAGCCAAGGGCACGGATCAGCACGTACTGGCGCTTATAGATTTAGGTGTAGTTCCATTGCTTCTACAAGTCTTGGTTTCCTCGCCAACCCCCGACATCGTCGCAGACAGCAAGATAAAGGTTCTAGATCTGTTGCATGAGGCCTGTTTGCGATGTCTGCGCACAGTATTCCAGCACACGGCAGCACCGGTCCATTCGATTTATCAAGATCCCGCATTAGTACCACGGTTGTTGTCTCTAGCAAGTCGGTCGGTCACCTGTCAAGTTTGTGTCGCGACAATCTTAACTACGGCATGTAAGGTAAAGAGAGGTCTGAAACTTTAATAAAAATATATCTACGCCATAAGAAGGAACTAATCTGCAAATTGTTTGTTAGACGACAGAAGAACAGAACGCTTTGTCCAAAGGCGGTGCGGTAGAAACACTGGCGATGCAACTGGATTCCCCCCTGTCTGAAGTCCAATTACCAGCTCTAGCCTGCTTAGCAAATATGTGTTACCAGAATCACATGGTGTCGGCTATGATAGCGTCAGCCAGCACTAGTAATACTGTCCACGGTAGATTGGTACCTGTCGCATTAGGTCAATTAATGGGACGTGAGAAGAGTTCATTGATACAGCTCGAAGCAGCGAGATGTATCGCGTATATGCACAGGGCCGGGGCATTGCCGTCCACCGATCCGCGAGTAGTGTATCGCACGTTACCCTGCCTCGTACGTTTATGTCATCGAGATCGACCGCCACGCGAGAGAGTCGCCGCAGCCGAGACACTTGCGTATCTGACCGAAGTTGATACGGATCTACAACGTTTAGCTTCCATTAGTAATCACTTGATACCAACACTGGCGGAATTGCTAAGACCACATCCGCAAGTAAGCAGAAATTACATTAAATATATTGAATATCTACAAAGTATGGTAAAATTAATTTAAATAATCTATTAGGTTGTATTAAGGTAGTGTTTAAATAAAAGTTGTACGTAATACTTTTTGTTCAGGTTCAAGATGCAACGCTAACGCAAGATATGCGACAAGCTGCGTTCAGGGCATTTGCGTCTCTCGGAGCGAATGACGAAGATATCCGAAAGCGTATTATTGAAACAGAAAGTCTTATGGAACAAGTTGTCTCTGGTCTTCAAGATCCTGGTGGATCCCGTGTTCGTTTAGCCGCGGTTAGATGTTTGCATTCCCTTTCGAGGAGTGTGCAACAGCTTCGTACTACATTTCAGGATCATGCAGTATGGAGGCCACTTATGCAGTTGTTACATGGAGCGGACAAGGGGTTGGAGGGTAAAATATGATAATACATTTACAATAAAGCATTACAGAGATACGCTACAATAAACACTGAGAAACATGTATGTTGCATGCATATATATTGCATGTAAGATACAAAAAAAAATACGTATATTTAGCTTGAAATTTCGAATTAACGTCTTAATCAAAAAGAAAAAGATGCAATATCGAAAAGAGGGTTATTAATGTATAATGTGAGTTATTCTTTTTTTATTCTATATAAGACAAGAATAGATTTGTAGCTCAATAATACACGCATCAAGAAAAGTGCGCAATCTTTTACGCTTGTGTTGGCCATATTAGTATGTCATAAGAAAGAGATATTTACAATAGATATAATATGAATTATACATAAATATGAATTTAAAACAGGGCGACTGTTTTCTCATGCGTGTAGATAGAAATGATAAATACATCCCTATTCTTTTCTCTCTGCATTGTAAGATTTATTTTTCAAAAAAAAAAAAAACAAGAATAAAGAGATCAGTGCTTGTAATTAGCTGTTATTATTAGTATTCAATCGCCAACTATATGAGTTACTATTAACATTGTCATTATTGTACTATAGGTAGAGGCGAAGGTGAAGGTGATTTATTAACTGTTGCCTCGAGTACTTTATGTAATTTACTGTTGGAGTTTAGTCCGAGCAAAGAGCCAATTCTTGAGTCTGGCGGAGTAGAGTTATTGTGTTCTCTCACTAAACGGCCCGAATCGGCACTCCGACTGAACGGCATTTGGGCCCTAATGAACGTGGCCTTTCAAGCGGAGCAACGTGTAAAGTCGCAAATACTCTCGTGCTTGGGCACAGATCAGATCTTTCGTCTTTTGGCCGATCCTGAGTTAGGTGTTCTGATGAAAACGCTGGGCCTGTTGCGAAATTTGCTTTCCACTAAAGCTCATATAGATCGTATAATGGGCGAGCACGCCACACATGTTATGCAAGCGGTCATTCTAGTACTAGAAGATCCAGAACATCCGGCGGACGTTAAAGAGCAAGCACTTTGCATTTTAGCAAATGTAGCTGATGGCGACCGAGCTAGAGATCATATCATGGCTAATGACGACGTGCTTAAGAAACTCATGGATTATATGGTTCGTACAGTGTACAGTTATTACAAGTACTTCATTAATTGAGTATTTCTAAACGATTAATTCTATATAATAGATAGGATAATAAGAGCTTTAAAGATTTTGAAAAAGCAAGTCGCGTTACTTGTTTTATCTATGATAGTAAAAAAATAACAGCTTTGAATACCACAAGTTTCAAACGTGTATTAAATCGATTAAGTATTCGCATTTCCTCAAGTCCTATCTATTAATTTAATAATTATATATCTTCAATGAGACCACCGATTGTATGTTGATATTTTACGTGTACATTTTATTTAGATGCACAGCAACGTGAAACTGCAAGTTGCTGCTATTTTTTGTGTATGCAACCTAGTCTGGAGAGAGGAACCCGGAGCAGCGCAGCGGCAAGCGCGTCTGCGGGAATTAGGAATTTATCGTATCTTGCAACAATTACGTCACACAAAAGACACTCAGCTATTTGAGAAGTACGAAAGATGAGCATTACGTGCTAAATTATTGTCGTTTATCATATCTTTTTATATAACAGAGGTCTCACATGTAATTTCCATTTCAGAGTCAAGACTGCCCTATCACAATTCTACGAACCTTGAACTTGGAATGTATCGCCGTTGAAGATTAGGTTATGATTTCAAGTATCTTTTTTATATTTGAAGTAAATTACGAATTTAGCGTTAACACTGTGATCACCTCGGTTGATAATGTAATCGAAAGTTACAAACAAGATGAACAAACTGATCTTTCTGAGCCTATGCCTGTAATCTGTGTCTCTGTGTAGTATTTATTTAACTTAATAGAAGAAAATAATATGGATTGCATGTGATTCGTTTGCTTATTTCAAAGGAAACGTTTGATATATATTATTTACAAAGTATAACATTGATTTACAAGCAGAGGCTTCAGATATGGAATGTCGTATGCAATAAAAAAAATTAAAGGGATAAATAAATCATGAAAAGAAATTGAAATAAATAGAAAGCAAATATACTTGTGCGGTATACTTCCATACCTTTAGATATATCCATCAGAAATACAAAGAATTTCATAATAATTTATATTGAAGATCTTGTAATATATATATATATATAGGATATATATTTGAAAGAAAATATAACTAGCGCATAATATGTAATAAATATTACATTTTATATCTTTGATATTATCTGTCTTTAGCTTATATGAAAAATTATGTAATTCAATGGTTTTGATTCTTATATGACGATTTCATTAAAAATAAATTTGGAGTGTTAAATTTAAAAGTTTAGAAAGTGGTAATTACTGATACAAACATATGAAGTGAAAATATCGTGAGCTATACGTTCACCGTATCACACATTGATAACAATTGATAGAGTTTGATCAGTTTTCCTTATTGTTACAAATATCAAGTAACAGGGCGAGATTATTAAAATACATTGTGAATTAAGCAGAAGCATTGCTATCACCGGAAAGATTCTCCATTGGATTGTTAGCCAATGGATCCAATTCTGCGAATAAATCCAACCACGAGTTACCTTTCTGCTTTCCAGTCTTATTCTTTTTCTATGAAAAGAATATTGCGATATATTAATCGTGCGACATATTCGCATTATTACTGTTGAACGCAAGTTTGCGAGTACTTACTTTATCGTCCGTGTTACTAATGGTATTCTTCTGTCCCATACCTAGTGCCGCATCTCCTAGACTCTGTTTCAAAATGCTTGGCGGTAGGAAAGTATCATGTGATATGCCTTCCCAGTCACTGTTCGTGCATTGTTTGTCATTCAGGATTTCGTCGAAAAGCGCTGCGCTTTCGGAGGCCAATAAATTCAACGATTGCTGTTGTCGAGCCTCCGACGACAAGGGAGACAAATCAGTCAAATTAAAATCTGTATTGCACTTTTCAAATAAGTCCATTACTGATTTCTGTTCCTCGGAGCTTTTCCTTAATACAGTGTTGGTTTTCTCGGTTTTATTAACCGATTGTTTAGTACTATTGGACGCATCTTTTTCCAGGATAAGATTTCCAAAGAACTCTTCGAGACTTTTGTCTGTATCGTTGGTACTATGCACGATTCCGTTTTTCGAAGAATTTGTACTCGTATCCAAATGTATCAGCGTATCCTTTGACTCATTTTCTATGTCCAAGAGCTTTTCGTCTTTTTTATTTTTCTCCGACGTGCTTTCTGAATTTGCGGTAGCCTCTTGAGCCTCCTCAACGTCATCGTGATAGTCCATGTCGAAAAATGGTAATCTGTAAAAATCAATATCATGGTGAAAATGACAAGTGTTTTCTTTCATCTTGTAACTCACTTATCCTTCTCCTCTAAATCGTCATCACCACCAGTTTCCTGCGCCAATTTACTGGAGGTTTCAGCCAGTTCTCGCACAACTGTGAAGTCATAACGTTGATAGCCTTTGAAGCTGTTGGCTATTGTGGAATATGCTTGTGCAGATTTCTTTGTGAAATTCAGGAGTGTAGTTTGGTATAAAACTAAGGCATGACTGAACATGTTACATCTTGCCGCCGCTAACAAATCAACCTTCTGAAGACAGTCAAGGGCTAGATTGTCAAAAACTATTTTGCCCCTAAATTGTAACATATACGATATATAAATTTCTTACAATATTTTATGAATATCTAATTAAATCCAATTTATAAAAATGAAGAGTTATTGTTTAATCTAAACAATATAATAATTTAAATAGAGAGATTGAATTTGTGATTGTATTTTGCAGTATACATAAATATGTAAAATATATAGAACCTACTGCTTAACACGTGCTTGAACTTTTTTATATTTTTCCAGTTGTTTGGACGTATCTGGATCTAAATCGGGAGAAATATTTTTCATCCATGACAGAGCAGCTCGGTACTCCGTACGGGCCTTTTCCATCGCTTGCACATTTTGCAATGTATCTTCAATAGCTCTTTGCCTAAATGTTTCCACTTCTTGATACAATCGACCCAAAGGAGTTCTCAAAGCAAGCCTCTGCTGACCAGAGTAAGACAAGGATTTGCCAACTGCTGACATCATCTTGCCGGCGCGAGTTTTGTCTTGCTTTCCGGCATCTTTCAAGAAACGTCCCATTCCATTTTCTTCCTGGGCTAAATCTAAACAGGTTAAATTATCTCGTTATCACAATTTCTTAATAATACAATTGATCTTAAAGAAGAAAATACAAAACATATATCCTATGACAATACAGTTATTTTATATTATTTATATTAGAAATTATGTTAGAACGCACTGCATAATCTTTCTTGGTATCTATCAATAACTCTTTGTAAGTAGGAACAGGAATCTTGGATACTGCGGAACAATTCTAGCTTTGCGTCCAACTCAGCATCCGAAGCAACTATACACTCATCCTCCTTCTTCCCTAATTTTTGGGACAAAGCCTGCTTTCTCACCCAGAACTGGTATTGCATTTTTATGATGGCAGAGTCGTCATGCATAGACTTTTGAACCCAGCAATCAAAGGCATTCCCTGATATGCCCGACGCACCTCTGTTACTGCATGCATGGTATAAAGAAGTTTTGTAAGTTTCTCGTTAAACGTGACAGTGATTAGTATAAGAGTTACATGCAAATCTCAACAAGAAAAACAATATTCCCATTGTTAATAAAAAATAAGTCACACAGATATTTGTCGTTTAAAACAGATGCTTTCTTTTACTGATGTTAAATCATTACGTTCTATTGATAATGTGCAAATACATGTATTTCCTTTTTCCAACCAACAGGATGGAGAGAGAAGAAAATTTACAAACTCCACAAATAATTTATCAATCATACGAGGAGAAAGGAAACAGACCATTCTTTAACGCAAGAGGGACACAGACTTACAAAGCTTACGGAGAAGTTAAATAATCAATTTTGCGCGATATCTATTAATAACACGAAGAGATGCAAACTACCATATTGATTCAGTATAGTTGGATATGAACTTAGACTGATAACGGCGTGGTCGCCGTGTCCTCTTCTCGAGTTCTCGTCCCGCCTCGTCGGCGAGACCGACGACAGCTCGAGCTACGACGACGGCGGGATTCGGACGTGGTCGAGAAAAGAACGAAGGAGATACTTACTAAGCATTCATAACGGAAGACCCGCTGGTACGCCACGACGCGCGCGCGTGTGGATTACACGTTAATGTTTACAACCGCGGAGTGTAGGGCTCCAGGTCGCCGTGCGTGCGTACTACACCGTTGCTCGTCCGCGGAATCACATAGTGCACGCGCGCGTCGTTCCACGCGCGATTGCATTCGTAGTGCGATACGCTAACAATCGGAACGAAAATCGGAGCGTTTTCCCACTCGACGGTGCTTGACAGCTCGGACGGGAAAGGAAAGCCACGAAGGCTAGTTTATCACGTATGAGCGATCATCAGCCGTCAACCAATTGGCGACGCGATGCTCGTGATTGGTCGGCCGACGTCACGATAAGAAAGAGGATAAATTGATCGTTATTATCGCACGAAGCAACAAATCTACAGCGAATGATATCTCGCGGAGTTTAGAACCTTGGACGGTTCTATGATGATGATTTTATGAGATGAATAATACATAGATAAATGAAATAAAGCTTGTTCTTTTTGACTTTTTACATATCGTTCATCTTTCCTCTTTTTTTTTTTCTTTAAAATGAAAAGAAGGAAAGTAAAACTAAAAAGAATCCACAGCAAAAATTTTCTATTTCTAATTTTATATATCATGATGGTGTGATTTTCATGTAATTTTAACATGTATCTTATATTTTATATATATTTGATTATTTAAATATTTAATTTTTACTTCACATGAGATTATAAATGGAATTCTATTTTAATTTTTTATCAAATTATGTCATACGATTTAATTTAACAAATGGATCGTTAAATTTAATTTTGGCAAAATTGTTCACAGCAAAATTTATAGCTGTTTATGTTTCTACTTCGGGTTTTTTTCTGCGTTAAGGAAATATTACCAATTAATATATTGCTAGACAAGTGATAATTATTGATTGAGATAACCGAAATTACGTAACAGAAAATTGGTACTTAATATAACGTTTTTTAATTATCCAACTTGACAGAAATCTTTGTAGTAATTTATATTCCTCTGTTGATAAAGAGTTGAACGTATTATTATGTTTGCGTCTATTTTATTTAGATGGCGTTGAAAAATTTTATTACGTTATCTCCTCTCGTGAGGGCTATTTTTATCATACACATTTAATAAAGCTTAAATTAGTATCGCTTAGAATATTTTACGACGATCTTTAAATAGATTATGTGATGTTTCACAATCCTTGCCAAACGTTTTTTTTAACCGAGTGAATCAAACGTCCGTCGAATAATAACACAAAAATAAAAAATACTTAAAAATGTAAATTAATTAACTTAATTTGATGAATCTGAGGCTGCGTTCCACACGGAATTTAGGTGTTTATTCTTAACAATGTCGTTGCATCGTCATTAAAAATAGTAGAATAGAGGTGCCTGTTAGTTTTACTCTCATCGAGACGCGCGCGCGCGAATCGATATTATAAATAAAAAATCGGAGAAGCAAAACGGGCATTTTGGAGAAATAGCGAAACTATCCTCGTTCGAAATGGTCCGACAAATTTCATATCTTCTAGAATGTTGAGAATATTCTTCAAATGCGGTAGAACAATGCGTCACACGTGCTCCAAAAAAAAAGCGCGAATAATCGCAAATGATGATGCATGTGACGCAATCAAGGCTGAGTTTCGTTATTCATTGCAAGTACTGAAAATCTATAGTATACGTGACGTAAGCTATAGAGGTCTGTTCACGTTGCTTAAAATCATTAAAAATTTTTACACCTAAAATGAGATAAATATTGGATTAGGAAAAAAGTCCCTTTACAAGTTGATAAAAAGACATTTCCCCATTAATATCTTCGTTAAAAATGATCAACATTTAAATTAAAAAAAAAAAAAGATTTAAAGCTTGAAATCTCTATTTTCGAATGATTGCTATATTTTTTGAATTTATGTGAGCTTTGTAATTTTAAAAATAAATAAGGAGAAGTACAATGGCAATAAGAATCAAGTGCAGTAATTGGAACAGCGCATTTCTTAGTGATTTATTCTGATTCAATCTACAAATATTTCGGCATCATTCCGAGCCATCATCAGTGGATAAATTTCTTGTAATTATTATCTCAAGCTCCATTTGGAAAGTCATATGTATGTCTCTCACAGTAGTTGCGTTTTGTAATTTTTACAAATAGAAAACTATGAACTCAAAAAAATGAAAAATTTTCTTTTCACTTTGTAGATCTGTATCTTGCCCAAAAAAAATTTGAGCAAATTTTCGACTATCTATCGTGAAAGCTTGAAGCTTTCTTTTTTCCCTACAAAATCATTTTAAAAAAATGTTTCTACGATCTTTTGTTCCCGAGTTACTCGCGGATTAAAGTAAAAAAGAACATTCCGACTTTATTGCTCATAACTCCGTTAAAAATCCTCGCAATTAAAAATACAGATTCTTAAAGCTGAAACGTTGCTCTATCAAGTGTAATTGCCAATTAAAAAAAAATAGAATACATGAGTTGCTAAAAATCTTTTTACCAACTTGTAAAGAGACTTTTTCCCTAACTCAATATATATTCAGGCATTAAAGGGAGTTAAAGCGCAGATGCTAAGTGCAAAAAGTGCAAAAGTTGCAACGCAAACAGATCTTAGATTTTCAGTATTTGCAATAAAATAACGGAATGCAGCCCAAGTATATTTTGCAAAAACAAATTTTTATTTCGATAAGCCGCAATATCTCGTCGTGATGAAGCGCGATTCGCATGAAGCTAATTTTAGTCGTGAATCCTCTGACATATGCGACACTTCCAGTATCTTCCTACGTTCTTTCTACTTCCATCTCTCTCCCACTCGCGTAGCGCGTGCGCGCGCGCCAATGGAAGCTTCTCGAATGATCTCGAGGACTCGCGCCGTGATTGGTCATCCGTGGAAGCTTCTCGAAGCGGACGATTCGGAGTATTAAAAGCGCGTTGCGCGGCTCGCGTCATCAGTTTCGCAACGAACGCGACGGAGCGTATAAGTGCGATAAGTGGCGCGAAGTGTCGACTTGCAAATCAAATCGTCGAAGTCTTAAAACCGCTATTGTTAGGTGAGTGTTGAAAGTGTTATTTAATTGTGAGGTAATTATGCGTCGATCGTTTCTCAAAAATTCATCGCGTCAGTAATTTCTGCTGGAATTATAGAATACACATTTTCGGACAGTTTTTCCGATATTGTTTCTGTTTCTTATCTGTAAAAATGTAAATTTTGCCATTTTTTTATGCAGGAAAGTGAAATTGTGCAACTCGGGTGCAAATAATTGTGGAAAAAAGAAAATTGTTTCCGAGTAACGATCTTTAATTGGCTGGTAGTCGTGTAATAGTTTGGTTCTTATTTCAAGGCCATCTTAAGTAATTGTACGGCTTTGTGATCGGCTTAAGACTGTACTTAAAACGATCTTAAATATAAGAACAAACTATTATAAGAATACCGGTTTTTGTCGCAATATCCGAGACGTCGTAACTTCCAGAAAAAATTATGACGCAATAATCAAGTTCCAAAGAACAAATTACCTCAGGAGAGTTTAAGTTCACTTTACCTTCTTATGATTAATTAAACACGCGATACGTGTTTTCGCAAAAACGTTTCGGCAATCAATACTAAGAAATTCGAGAAGCATGATATAATACAACATGTAACATTTATTGCGTCGTTATTTTCGAGCACAGTTCGCTCGAGTTCGAGCAACTTCGATCGCTCGAGGCTAATTAAAGTTTTCTTTTTGTTTTTTATTGCAACGCTCATACAATACAATATATGTACATGTCACATTTCAGTGATTACCATCGAAACGGTTAAAGAGAAGAGAGGCTAACGATGTCGAAAGCACCGGCAGTTGGAATCGACCTGGGCACCACGTACTCGTGCGTGGGTGTCTTCCAGCATGGAAAGGTCGAGATCATCGCCAATGACCAGGGTAATCGGACCACACCAAGCTACGTAGCCTTCACCGACACCGAGAGGCTGATCGGCGATGCGGCGAAGAATCAGGTTGCTATGAATCCCAGCAACACCATCTTCGGTAAGTCTGAGCTTTTTAACGTCCAAGATGTTTTTCACCGCTTTTGCGTCGCAGTTTCATTAAGCCCGATCTATATAAAACGCAAAAACTAGGAACTAACCTAACGTATTTTAATCATAGTATGCCCGCAGGACGCAGAAGTTGAGGTTCACCCAACTTTCTGCGTCCTGCGTTCTGCGTCGTACAAGCATAGAATGCTTTAGAAGGTGACCTGATAAGGCCGTTAGATGCTTTATCTATTGCGCCGTATTTTTTGTCGATTTCAACTTTCGATATTAGTTTAATATTGTGGAATTGTTTCAGTCTTAAATCGATTTATCCTTTATTATTGATCGATAAAAACGATACGTTAAATCTCTCCTTCAAAAATGGATTTTTTGAAACGTAACATTTTTGTGTTTAAATTTTTAATTTTTAAAAAGCTGATGCTGAAATACGAGCGAATATTCGATTAATCAATGGTGATTTTAATCCTCTATTTTATTACTTCAATATTTACTAGTGGAATTGTCTCAATTAAGTTATTATCGTTACTGATTGCAAGATGACGTATTGGTTGAATTTCTTCGTGGATTCCTTGAAATTAAATTTTTAAGAAGTTGACGCTGAAATATTTACAAGCAACTAGGCAAGATATGTAGCAATATTTTGCGACATTTCTAGGCGAATTTATGAAACCGCAAAAACCTTGTATTGATGTTTTTTTTTTTTAAGACGAATTGTACGTCATTTCTAAATTATTCGACCTTGCGATCGATAGAACACGAAACTTTCCGTGCACGATAGTTAACTTATCTCAATCGTGTTTTACTGCAGCTTTACTTACAGTGACCTTGCATGACGCGCATGTCTGTGTAATGTTCGTTCGTAATGTACGCTATGTCCCTCCTTCCTCCGACCGTCTATCCTTAACATTATAGCCGAACGTTCTGACGTTTTATACATTGTAGTTTTATGTAATCCTAATTTGTGTGCCAGCTACCAATGACGTCCAGATTTTACGTTGAATCGTAAATCATAATGACTCACGCGACTTGTTTATCGCTTTTAATCTCGGTTGCTTGTTTAATTTTTTATGCAAGAAACGACTAATATATATTCGTTCCTTGCATAAAAAATTAAATAAGCACACATACATATTATGTATACATACTCGTATACATATTACGTATACGAATATTAATGCACAATATAGATAATCTTTTATATATAATTTTATATATACTTATAACATTTTAAAAATAATATTAAATTAAAATATAATATAAAAATGAAAAAATATATAAAGATACATATTTTTCATTATATATTTTTAAATATATATATATATATATATAATAGAGAGATATATAAACTGTAAATGTAAGCTTTCGTAT